GGAAGGTGTCCCTGCTGATGGCAGGGGGGTTGGGACTGGATGATCTTTATAAGGTCCCTTCCAACCCAGATTATCCTGTGATTCTATGATTCATTCTTACCCATCTGCCTTTGCGCCCTCTCTGCCTTCTACCCAGCATGGGGCAGACAGTTCCCACTGGTGCTGAGCATGGACGAGGCAAATGTGGATGTGCCTTATTACTTGCAGTCCTGAGTCCAGAGCATCACACTGGGATGAAGCAAGCAAGTTCAAGAACATGCAGAGTTCAAGGTAGTGCCTAAGAAGGTGGTGTTTTCTGCATGGAAAAGATAACAGGAACAAGAACCACAGGGTGGTCTTCCATAGCTGGTCCCCTCCCTGAGCTAGATAAGAAGGCAGTCCAGTTCCTCATTGCACTTTTCTAAAGACCCGGCAGGACAGAGAAATGTGTTACTCACAGGACTCGGAGGCTGGGCAGCTGCTGGCACATCCCTCTGGGGAGTAAATGGATGCCTGCCCGGGTCAAAGTCCTAGAGGAGTGGAGGAGAGAGAGGAAATGGTGTTACTGAGAGCCAGTGCACAGCCTCTGACCCACAAGCTTGGCTACTGGTCCCAGATGGTGGCAGGAGTGACGATATAAACAGGATAATGAAGTATCTAGAAAGAAACAAAAACTGACTCAGAAATGAGCCCTGCTGCTGGATGTGCTAAAGGTGAATGTGCCTATAAGAAATTCTGGGATGCTGCTCAGTGCTGAATTAAATGTTGTTCTTTGCCACATTGAGGGCAGGTGGCAGTGCCCACCATGGCATGCTCTGGCCTCCCAGTTCCTCATTGTCCAGACTGATGACCCACCTGGAGCCACGACTGCCTCAAAACCCCATGTATATGGGATGGTTTGTGTGAACATGTGTCCCTGAGGCAAGGCACAGCCAGGTCACACTCCTGGCCTGGGTGCTCAGCTGTGCTCCCAGTTTGGGCACAGTGTGTGGACCAGTGCCCTGGAGAGGAGAATTGTAGGTGGCCAGAGACAGCATGTCCTCCAAGCTCCTGCTTTCCTGGATCTGGTGGTGTGAGGATGGAACTAGACTAGTTCCAGCAGCCCCCAGCCTGGGTGGCAGATGTTTCCAGCACTGCACTGCACTGTTTTGCTCAGGATGGGCAAAGACACTGGGTCTCAGTTGACCATGCTGAAGGACTGCACCCAAAGGCTTGTTCCTTCAGAGACACAGAAGGGAAGGAAGAAAAAAATCAAAAAAAGATTGGAGCACATTCAACAGTACCGAGAGAGCAACTCACAGAGAGGAAAGCTGCGTTCAGGAGCCACAGGGGTGAAACGAAGCAGAGAGGTGAGTGACCAGGGAGAGGCAGAGCTGAAGACAATCAACTGCACAGCACTGTGAAAGTTTTCCTCGCTGAAACAGCCTGGACCGCCTTGAAGGAGGAAGAGCACAAAGAGCAGGGTAAAAGGGAGAGAGTTGCCACTCACAAAACTTCTAGGCTGGTGGTGCCTTTGAGATCTGGGAATTCTCTGATGTCTGTTGCACCATTGAGTGACCTGCAGAAAAATGAAGATGAAGTGAGGAGGACAGAGGGCCTGGAAGCAAGCACAGCTGCCCAAGGTCCCAGACCCATCAGCCATGGTGGCAAATCTGTTTCTTCACGTAGTGCAGATGCAGTGAGCCAGAGTTGGGCATTTCTATGCAGGGAGGTTTGGCAAGCTCAGACTCTCCCTCAACCACTGACATTTTTGGCATGATCTTTACCCAAATTAAATAAAAAACCCCAAACAATTAGCATGAGAAATGTAAGCAGGATATCCCACCCAAGCCTCCCTGAGTCTATGGTAGTTGAAGGATTTATTTTATTTGCCTGAGTGTGTGTTCCTGCAGTGAGAGGCTGGGTGAGGCTTATAAATAGACATTTTCAGGTTGCCTCTGCCTCAATATTTAGTGCTGTGCTATTAGTTAACTGAAAAGTCAGCCAGTCCTGGCCAGCCAACGTGGAGCAGCTGTTGTGATCCAGATGGTGCCCACCACATGGTGGTGACCCTGGAGCAGGATTAGGGCCATACATGTGAAAGAAACACTGTAACTGCTGGCTGCCAGTAAGATTATTTGTGCTGTGGTGTTGGTGCTATGGGACACATGTTCCTCCAGAGGATGAAGGCAGAAACCTTCAGGGTCCTTGTGTTTGGGTAACTACACAACAGTGCAGAGTTTTCTTGAGCAGCATGCAGCAAAAGTTATAGCACTTCTGAGTGTGGTCTTTGCTGGTGCTGATAAAGCTGTGGAGACCTTAGACAACTCCAGTGCCTGTCAGCTGGGTGGGAAGGGGGAATGAATTGCTCCCTCCAAAATGCCCTTCTCAAAATTATTCTTCCTCAACAGAAAACATCTGCAGTGTCTACTGCTTGGCTCACTGACTTTGGGGCTGAGCAGAAGAGTGGCATCATGGTTTTCTATTGGCACAAGGGCTCTAGAAAAGAGGAAGGGAGAAGGCCACTAAGGTGTCCAGCTCACAGGGCTTGGAGCTTGGATGTGTTCCCTCTCTCAGGATGTGCTTGGTGAACTTACAGAGTGTGGAGCTTTGGCAAGTACTGGAAAGCAGACTGTCCAACAAACTGGATGGGATTGTCATAGAAATGGCTGCAAAGGAAATGGGTAACTGGTCAGATTCTGCTGTGCATGAACAGAAGATGCTATTACAGGTCAAGAGCCTTGGAGCAACTGGTACTAAGTTATATAGGAGGTACTGGTTATCCTGCGAGGAACCCTTGTTTTCCAGATAACCTCAGGCTCTCCCAGTAGACTGTTTTGGCTGAACATTGGTACAACTGAGGTCACCTACTCCTCTGAAAGGGCCCTTTAGTGTCCTGCTGATTTTTAGAAAGATGCAAAGCCCTCCTTCAACCCTGTTATAGTGCTGCTACCCTGCTGGGAAACACCTTGCACTTGATGACACCTCCTCTGTTCTTACTGATCAACAGCACCGGCATCTTTCCTACTTGTTACAGTTTGTGGAGAGAAGTGAACTCTTCTATCATGCAGCTAGCTTTAGGGGGAGTTGAATTACTGTCTACAGGAAGCGCTTTCCCCCCACCGACTGTGAAAGACTTTAGATGGGCAGATGAAATGGAGACATGAATATTCTGGATGTGTCCCACCCCCATGTCACTCCAAGGATGGTGCCCAAGGAGGATGGGGATGAGACTGGTTTGTTTTGACTGGAGCAGTGACTGTTTTCACCCAGTGTCACCATGGTTTTACACATGTTGGTATTTCTATACTTTAAGTCCCAGACTGGCCAGTGTATCAGTGTGGTTCAGGTAAGAACTGTCAAAAAATCTCTACCTGGGTCAGAAGACAAATGAGCTGACAACTGGGAGCATTTATCTGCAGAACTTTGTGTCCATGGATCTGGGTTAGACACGCAACAATCTGGTGTCCCAACTCCCTGAAACATATTGCTACTGCTGTAGCTGGCTAGCAGCTTTTCTAAACGCAAGGAATAAACAGGCAGATGTCAACCAGGGCTTAGAAAATCCTGTTATGCGCACCAAGATTTCCATACAGACCACTCATATATTTATTGTTCCTTCATTGTTATCAGCCTGTTCTGCAGCAAAGCTCAGCTGCAGGGAAAGGAGGACCCATGGCAAAACACCTGAGGCGCAGCTGAGAAGAAGCTAATTTCAGTTTGCGTTGGCCCATATACAACAAATGTCAAATCACAGTCATGCTGATAACTGTCAGAAATCCCAACCAAAGACATCAGGAAATGCCCCTTTCTGGGGGATATAATGAGTTAGGAAACATTGTTTAATTTTCTTACATTGTTTGGAGGAGGGGATTCCCAACAAATGCGTTCTCTGGAATAGCTTTGATGTTGTTGTTATGAAAACCGCTGTAGGGAGAAACAAATATCTTGATATTAATGGATGAGAAAGGCTTGGGGACATTTTCTTTCCTCAACACTTTTTAAGGCAGAGAACCTTCAAAACACACATTAAAAAGGGGGTATAGGCTCTGTTCCAGCTGTAGTGTCATCCCAGCAAGTGAACAAGGTCTGTCCTTTGGCAGGACAAAGCCCTCATTCTGCTGTATTTACTCTCTGTATGGCTTGGTGCTCCGTATGTTACTCCACTGAAACCACCAAGAATACAAGGACTTAAGGTTTAACATTTTACAGGTCAGGAAACAGGAGCAAACAAAATATGCTCATTTTATACCCTCCAGGAATTACAATTTTTATGGATGGTCTCCCCTATAGCTTCACAGCTGTTAACCAGAGTGCGGCCTACCATGAATCATTGACCTATGTTATTTTAAAGTATTTGTAGATCTAGCCATTATATTTTTGGTTAAGCTTGAGAAAATTGCTATCAGCAAACTTTTTCAGCAGAAGAGAGCTCTGTGGCCACAGTTTGACCTCCTGTACATCAAAGGCAGCCACATGATCCTGTGTCCAGGACCAAGATCAGGCTCTGGGTGATGCCCAGGTTGTTTCATCACAGAGGAGTCTGTGTTAGTGGTTAGTTGGATGGTTGTTTGAAATTTGCCTCTTATTTAGTGTTGGGCATTTCAAAAGCCATCTCAAAGTGGATGAGGGATCTTTTTCTAATTTTGAATGTCAGAGTAAAGATGATATCTGTTCTGATCAGAGAAATCTGACAATTCTTACAGTAAAAGAAAAAAGTAGTGTCAGATTTTTACTCCAAGCCTCCAAGAAACACCAAAGCAGCTGCTTTTGTCCCACCCCTGCCTGTCACCAGTGTGACACAGTCTTAGGGTCCACAGGAACTGTGAATCCACATCAACTTGACTTGATCCCATCTTGGGGCTTCTGCCTTCATGGCTGTTTCTTATTTTTAGTGTCTCCCAGGCAGACCGGTTAGAGGAGAGCTAGTCACTAGAATAGTCATCAACGTTTGTAATTCCCTATTAGAAATTTGTGCTAAGGGAGATCAAAGAGTTTCTGTATGCCAGAGGAGTTGGCACAGAGCCTGCAGAAGCCATGGCCTCACAGTAACACAGATAACTCCATGGTTGTGGTCCCAAGCTGGGGAATGGACATTAGAAGTAGCTGGAGATCCGATGGACTTTTTGAGTCTCCCAGATAACACAGGAGAATGAAAAGCTGCAGGAGGAACCTGATGGAGGATCTCTCACTCACACCAGCTGTGAGGCAGGGGATGATAGTGAGGTGATGAGAGCTGATGGAAATCGAGGGGAAAAGCTGCTTTTATGTGCATGGTGGAGATGGCTGGGAAAGACAAAAGAAAGGCTTGGACTGAGTGCTCTCCTCAAGTCAGAGCACATGCGATACTTTATTTGTGACTCTCCATCAGTGATTGCTTTTGAAAAGGAATAAATAGAAAATCTCACAGCTCCTGCAGTCTGCCCAGCGTCCTGATAGCCCCAGGAAACTCCAGCAGCTCATTGTAGTTTAGATCCCTGAAAGACAGAGAAGGGAAAAACATTAATTAACATTACTGTAGGAACTTAACTGAGTGTATCTGTGCTTTGAAGGCATGGAAACTTGGTTGTTAAGCATGGGTGACAGGTTTTTCCTACCATGCTGATCCAGCTACTGCCTGGAAACAAAATCTCACACATTCCTGCAACAGGAATTTTCCCTGCTAGGAGCACGGTCAGGCAAGAGCCAGTCTAAGCCACTGCTGCTGCCGTCTGGACTCCTTCCCCCACAGTCTCTCCATGCCTGGTGCTGGACTGTGCTGCTGCTTCACATCTACAGAGTGCCCTGTCCTCCTCTCCCATGAACCTATCCCCAGGAGCTTTGGCTGCGAGACATTTTTTCTGCCTTTCCAGGTCAAAATGGGATTTTATGAAGGACAAGAAATGCAAGTGCAGCTTCAGTTGTCTAGGCCTCATGAAAAGACTTCTCTGGGCCCCCTTGCCCTGTGGTGCAGAGGGGATCAGGAGACCATTCCCTTGGTGCTTGCCCTGGGGATGCTGGATCTCCCTGCCACTGGCACATGCTGTGACTGGGACCAGTGGGAAGAGCAGGCTATGGGAAGGCCCAGGTCTTCTTCTGATGGTTGGGGTGACACTCACATTGGAAACTATGGGCCAAAGGTGGAATTGATGTGCGAGAGTTATGACATTTCTGAGCATTAAGTTTAATTTGCAGTATAATAAATTAAGTGAAATATAATATGTTGGTCATTATGCCAAGTGTAGAATTTACCTGCCATGACTTGGCAACCAGAAGAGACATCTGAGCCTGAATGAAACCTCGTGGGCTGTATTTGCTCTCCAAGGATGGGCTGGCAGCCTTGGAAAAGGATTTATTTGAGCTATGGGGCACTGCTGGCAGCTTGGGAGGAGCAGCCCTCTGAAGGTACCGATCCTGCTGTTGACTGGAGGGGGCTGATGGAGATCAGCTGGGCTTTAGATTTGTAGCGCTTCTCCTCTAGCATGCCCAGTGCTGACCTTTGGAAGGCAGTTCCAGCTGAAGTGGTGACATTTGACCCTGTCCTGGACATCTCACAGACCAAGACACTGTAGTCTGAAAACCATGCAACTGCTTTCTACCTGCATGAAACTCACTGAGTTTTAAGTGGTAGATACTTTGGAACGCGAGGGTAATTACTGGGTCCTGGAGATTACTGTATAATTACACTTAATGGACCTCAAAGTAATTACCATGTAACCTGGATTGTGGTTTACGGAACAGAAATAACCGTGCATTTACACAGCAGTGAGTTACTGCCCAATTACCTTGTAATTCACATCCTCTGGGCCCAAGCATGGTAATTACATTATGATCTATCTTGGCCCCCCTCTCTCTTGCATAGTCTTCTCCTTTACCAGTGGCCCTGCTTGGGAATTACTCTACAGCACTGTCTCAGCTTTGCCCTGTAGATATTTACACAGTAAATCAACCCAGAGAGCCTCTCCAAATTGGTCTTCCCTTGTGCCTCCCAGGACTCCAGGATTGTATGACTTATGTCTTAGGGAATACTTATCAGGGAATTACAAGATAGGGGACAAAATCAGAAGAAAAATATGGAATGAGGTTGTCTTGGGTGGATTTTTGCCTCACGTAGCCCTGGCAAGGTCCATGTTAGACCTTTGTGGGCCAGGGGGATGCAGCAGGTCCTGCTATGGCAGGTTTGTCTCCCCACACCAAGGACTATTTTCTCTCCTCCAGTTACAGAGGGAGTCTGTCTGCCTGCACTACGTGTATGGATTTGAGCAAACAACTCCTGCTCCCATAGGACCTATATATCTTGATGTCTGGAAAGGGTTCACATAGTCTAATAATAACCAGTGCTGGCAATCAGCAGAAGAGGAGCACAAGGCTGGTGTCAAGACAAGTTCTGCCTCCCTGCCTTGTCCAAGCTGCAATGCAGCGGCAGTGTCCCAGCACATGTGAAGCTGCTATGCATATCCCCAGGGCCCAGGAGTGACACAGGAGTGATGTGTCCCCTCCTCACACCAGCTCACATCTATTAGATATGAGAGCTCTGCATGTCCTAAAGAGCTTACTCTTGAGACACTCAGTTCTCATCTGGGTCAAAGCAGATCAGTGTTTTTTTCCCAATCTTTTCTGCTCGAGCCTAAAATAATCTCTTTAAGAGTAAACAGCCCAACATGACTGCTCATAGACCTCACTCTTTGCAAGGCACCCGTAGCTTGTTATCAGCTGGATGCTCCCAGCCAGTTTCCTGTCAATGGCACCTGTCAGGCGTCCATCACATTATACAGGCTGCTGCACAAGGGCTTTTACAATGCACATCCCTTCACCAAAGCTCACAGAAGCACAGGAGTGGATTTTCAAAGAGAACAAGCAATTAGAAGTGTAGACAGGACACCGCTGGGCATTTTGAAAGCATCAGTCAAATCCCATTAACTTGCACTGCAGGTTAATCACTGCACTGAATGAAATCAGAGGGCATTAGCAGCCTAAGCTGACTGACAATCCCAAACCTCTATCTGCTTATAAGGTGCTTAATACCTTTAAAAGTCTCACCATGCAGTGACTTTCCAGGTTACAGGGAGGTTTCACAGCAGCACAGGAAGCCGCAGAGGTCACCCAAGGCTGAGTGTCTGCCTGCGCTGCTTCTCTCCCTTGTGCCACAAACCAAAGGCCTGAGATGAGCCTGCGTGATGCCAAGTGACTGACCCTGGAGGAGAAGCACTCTGAACCCTGTCCCCAGGTGACACTCAGACCACCAATGTCTTGTCACTCGTGCTGGGGGGAAACTGTGCAATGGCGTGGGGTTCAGTTTCTCCCCAGTGATACCCAATGCATCTGTGAGCAGCTGACAGATGGAAAATATTGCCCAACAGAGAGGAGACTTGGCTGACCTGTGATTCACTAACAGAAAAAGGAATCTTTGATCTGTAACCAATATTATTTACACGGAATAATTCAATGTGCTGTAATATTTGCTCCTGTCTTTCTCTAAAAATGCATTTCCTTTCCAGCCTGCCTTTCTTCCAGGCAGGCTGGTCTTTCATCAGCAGATGAACATTTTGTTTGTACCTCTGCTTGTGTGCAAGTATGTACAGGACCAGTTCTTCCTGAGTGAACACACACCTTTCCCAGCCCTGGCAGCATCTCAGTGCCTTCCTCCCCCCTGCACTTGACAGATACAAAGAGCATTGTGTTCAGCAGATCCCTCTGGGTAAAAAAGCCATCTCTGAATGCTGGCACATAGTGGGCTTGTTGGAAAGTGGAAATGCAACCAGGTGTAGTCATGCTGCTCCAGCCTGGATGCCAGCCACCCCTGGTTTGTTCAGGAGAGACAATGTGCCCATGCTCGCTCCTGCCGATGCTTCCTGGTTGTCGGTGAGGTGAGCCTTCCATCTGGAAAACAAACCCAATTGTGCTCATTAACAGATCTCCTGAGTGATGCTTGTAGCCCACTGCTCTTGATCCATGCGCCGCTCGCACCGTCCTGACTTGCCTCCAGTGCCGCCCTGTGTGCCAAGCCAATTTTGGGGGATTTCATCTGGTTGGAGGAGGCTGGAAGAAGCCTCCTAAGATGGTCCCCAGGTGTCATCTCTTCCCTGCCAGTTCTTCTCAAAGTCCAGACCCAAACCAGGACACAAGGGTGGCTTTCCTCTTCCTTCTCCTTCCTTCCCATAACTTTAATTGGGCTCTGGTTCAAGTGATGTCTCAGAAACAGCCTCCAACCTTCACTGTGGGGGAGGCTGTGGATGTTCATGGCAGTGGAGAAGTTTCTGCTGCTTTAGTGAAAATTGGTCATTGGATCTTTCCACAGATGTCTGATATCAGCAGAGCTACATCCATCCCAGACATCACTCCTCCACCTTCTCTCCCATGATGAATTTTGCTCAGCCTGCGCACCCGATGGTGGGTTTCTGGAGCTTCTTTCCTGGTGTAGGGTCAAGGTAGATGGGGGAGTCGGGGCCCAGTGGGTCGGGGAGAATTTTACGTTTTGACTTCAGTAGCAACAAATTTTCCTCCACTGAGCAGATCAGTGAACTCTACATAATTTACAAACCCTTTCCAGGGGCTGGGTGGATATAGAAAATGGACATGCTTCCAAATGTCCCCTTTCTCTCCCTGCCTTATCTGAGCTGCTTGGGGAATGCTTTGCTGGTCCCAACTCCATGCTCTGGCCCTTTCCCATCGCTTCCAGCTTTGGGATGATTTGGGAAAAGCTGCAAAAAGCCAAACTTGCCACCAGGGGACACTATCCCCACTGCACTGCTGTGGCACATGGGCTGGGGTGGGAGGCCTCTGGGCCCAAGGGGGCTGGACCTGGCACTGCTGGGGTCTCAGCTGCCCCAGCTCTGGGCTCTGCCCCAAGGCTTTACACACTGTGTATGGGGTCTTCTGGCTGTGGGGTGTTGCCCTTTTTGGCACACCTGGGAAAGTAGACCTAATGCCAGCACTACCTGGTGGAATGATGCCAATGCACAATGGCCATGGCTATGCCAAAACAATAGATAAGCCTCATAACAAAGAAGGAAATAATGTGCATAAGGAAGAAAGTTTTGTCCATTATCAAGGGCTTTTGTAAGCAAAATCACCCAGCCAAGAAGTTCAGAAATGATGTGCAAGAGAAATTACTATAAAAAATTACTTTCCTTAGTTGGGCTCCAAGTTAGCAGCTCCAGGCATCACAGTGGGATGTCAAAAGGAGCCTTGTCTGTTCAAGTTAAAATGAAAACCCTGTAAAGGTCACCCGGTCTATCCAAGACACAATGAACTGGCTGGCTTTCCATTGTTATTTCTAGAGTGAGCCTGTATCTGCATATTTGGAAGATTGTAAGCAACCCTGTTGTTTATTTAGAAATAAAAGTAAATTGACATCAAAAGCACAGTTATTTTGGGCTTTAACTGCCAGGGTGATTTGAAGCTGACAACATGCAGCCTGGAACTATTAATATCTTCAGTCAGGCCAAAAGGAGAGAAGGAGGGGAAAGAGTCTTAGGTCAATTTTCTGCCTGTTAGG